ATGCGTACTAAATATGAAGTCCCTATCTCCCATGGTTCAAAAGTTGTGGCAAAAAGTGTAAAGAGCTATTTTTAGCATATCCGTCACAGTCAAGGTCACAAGATCATTGACCTTGCCGTCGTTTGAAAGGACTTTATCGGTGGAGTATGCATACCAAATATGAAGTCCCTATCTCCTATGGTTCAAAAGTTGTGGCAAAAAGTGTAAAGAGCTATTTTTAGCATATCCGTCACAGTCAAGGTCACAAGATCATTGACCTTGCCGTCGTTTGAAAGGACTTTATCGGTGGAGTATGCATACCAAATATGAAGTCCCTATCTCCTATGGTTCAAAAGTTATGACAAAGTGGAAAAAGCTATTTTTAGAATATAGGTCACAGTCAAGGTCACAAAGTCATTGACCATGGTGTCATTTGAAAGAACTTAATCGGTGGAGTATGCATACCAAATATGAAGTCCTTATCTCTGATGGTTCAAAAGTTATGGCAAAAAGTGTAAAAAGCTATTTTTAGCATATAGGTCACAGTCAAGGTCACAAGATCATTGACCTTGATGTCATTTGAAAGGACTCTATTAGTGGAGTATGCATACCAAATATGAAGTCCCTATCTCCTATGGTTCAAAAGTTATGACAAACAGTGGAAAAAGCTATTTTTAGCATATAAGTCTTAGTCAAGGTCACAAGGTCATTGACCTTGAAGTCATTTGAAAGGTTTTTATTAGTGGAGTATGCTTACCAAATATGAAGTCTCTATCCCTTATTGTTCAAAAGTTATGGCCAAGGTTAAAGTTGACAAACAGACAAACAGATAAACAGACAAACAGACAAACAGACAGGACAAAAACAATATACGCCCGGGATCTATCGATCCGGGCGCTTAAAAAGTACCCTGCATATTTAAATGTAAATTGGTTGAAATTAGCCTAGTGGTTCTTAAGAAGTTAATGTGAAAAGTTTGCAGATAAACAGATGGACAACAGAAATCAGTACATTTCAGAAAACAGTATGCTTATAAATAGTTAATCAAGGTGCTTTGGGTAGCAAAATAAAGCTAAACTGGTATATCTAATTCATCCGCAGAGCTTAGTATATTTCAATATGCACAACCTTTTCAACTCTTATAATTATTTTTTAAAATTTATATCACCATGTCTCATTCAAGGGAGAACTAGAGATATGACCAGATGTATATCTGTTGAATATAAAATATGTACATGTATTCTGTGTTTTTTTTTAGTAATTTGTTTGTTTGTTGTGACAGCAACTGTTATGGCAGCTTTTGGCAAAGGTTGAAGTTTCTCAAATGTAAGTCAAACTCCAAGGTCAAGGTCAAAGGGTCTAAATTGTTGGTATCAAAGGGAAAGTCTTGTCACAAGGAATACACATGTGAAAAAAGGGAGAAATCCCTAGAACTTCCTCACCTGTTCAAAAGTTATTGCCAAGGTTAAAGTTAAATTGGATTCAACTCTAAGGTCTAGGTCAAAAATAATTATACCTGTTGAAAGTTCACAATGATTACACATGTAAGAGCATGAAAGTCCTAGCACCACCTGTTCAAAACTTACGCCAAGTTCAAGGTATTTTTCTTGTAAAATTGGGTCAAAATCCAAGGTCAAGAGATCAAGAGGTCAAAATTGGTGGTACCCATTAAAAGGTTTTGCCAAAAGAAATTTACCTATGAAATATTCAAGCCATGTGTATAGCCCAATCCACTTAAAAAATATGGGCAAGGTTAAAGTTTCCGTGGACAGACAAAAATACATAAACATAGGAAACAAAATATGTATAAATAGTCAATTGAAAAAATTTTCTACTATTATGGAGTCATAAGATCAATTGTCATTTCAGGTACAGGGAGTCAGTGGCTAGGGAGATCAGACCCCCCCCCCCCCTGGAATTAGCAGTTATTTAAATGAGACTATATATGTACTGTAGAGAATAAAAATGACTTTGGACATCCTCCCCCTTAGAAAACAGGGACTCCACCATCATTGTTTTTATTATTATTTTTTATTTCCATCTCAGGAAATCTTGGGCTGATTTTTTTGACTGAGGTGTGACACCCCCCCCCCCTTTCTGAAAAAAAAAAATTCTGGATCTGCGTCTGTTATATACTGAATGTCCGCAACGGGAGATAACTTGACAATGTGAAATTTGTCGACTGTGGCATGCGATGATCTTTGACCATGTTGACCCTTTTTGAACTTCAACCTAACCATTTGCATTTATTTATTTTTATGCATTCTATGCTAAATCTTGTACTTACCGAATGTCATAGGTCGTGACAACGAATTCATGAAATATAATCCATATAATCCAATTAAAACACAAATGATTTTAACTGACCACACTGCATCGTCAGCATACATGTGCTAAATAATCTCATTCGACAAACCTTTGCTGATTCCTTTGCCAGTATGAATTGGCCGAGGTGTGCCGAGAGGTGATATCTATAAATATGATAATGGGTGACGCAAACCCAATGTGAATGTAGAAAATAAAACTGTTTAGTACAAGAACAAATTTCAAACTATCATAATAAACTAAACTATGTTTTTTAAAAAATGTGAGGGTGAGAGAGAGAGAGAGAGTGTGTGTGGGGGGGGGGGGGGGGGGGGGGATAGGCATTGACAAATTAATCGGGTTGTATTTTCAATGGGTTTTTTTCCCGACCAAATACTTCAATCAGTTTGCACATTTTGATAAATTCATCAAAAACGCTTTGTACTAAAATAATATTTTATGTCGTTGAGAAAGTAAATTTAAAAAGTTCCAAATTATGGGGAAATTATTTATTTGAATCTAATTAAGTAATTTACTTCAATCATTAATTAAATTCTGTTATTTCAGACTGGTTATGAATTAAGTATTTTAAAATACATATGTGAGGCTCAGAGTTGATATGGTCATCTGAAAATTTTATGTTCAATTTGACGAATACATGTACGGTGATAATTATAGAATTATTTTGACTTCTTCCTTGGAAAGTCCAATATGAATGAGTGTATATTTAGAGGCAAACACCATAGTGCGGGTATTACTGTCTCATGACAGCATCTAGTTTGTTTTGAATTTAAATACAATTGCTGAATGATCTGTTCTATACCCTGGGATTATTTTGGTGTCTAATACTCTACTAAAAATACAATCAGAAACAAGAAAATAATCAATTCTACTTTGAATAACTGGATTTGATCTTCTCCATGTGTACTGCCTAACTTCTTCATTCCAGATTCTCCATGGATCATAAATTTCAAGTTCGCTTTTTATATTCTTTATTACTTCATTTGCCTTTGGATTATTAAGATTTTTAACATTGAAAGTGTCAAGTTCTTTATTTTGGACCACATTCCAATCCCCACACATGAGGATTGACATGTTTTCTAATTTTGTAATTTCTTCATAAATATTTTGAAAAAATTCTGGATTATCATTATTTGGACCATACAAATTTACCAAAGTAAATCTCAAATTATTTGCTGAAATATCCATTATGATATATCTACCAGAAGAGTCACATTTAACTGAATGGATATCTAATTCAAAGTTATTTTTGAAAAGTATTGCAACTCCAGCTGAGCTGCTTGTATAACTACTGAAATAGGATTTGTAACCCCACTCTGATTCCCATAACCTTGAAGTCTCATGAGTACTATGTGTTTCTTGAAAACAAACAATAGAGATATTTTTACTTCTAACCCAATTAAACACATCTCTACGTTTTTGGCTGTTAGAGGAGAAACCTCTTACATTCATACTCAATATACCTAACATTTCTACTTTGTTGGTCATTTTAGTTGTCGTATAAAATGTCATGAAAATTTTTCATTCTTATTACACAGAACATTAGAGAAGGTGCACTAAAGCTCAAAAACAACGCATACATACACACTCTACACATACTTACATTCACAAAAGTCAACCATGTTCACCTGAGAAACTTTGGCCATGCTGTTCTTTATCAGATTTCCCCCCTTTGTAATAGCAATTGTGACCAAGCCCTATCCCAAGGGGTAATGATTTGCACAATTTACAATCTACACTACCCCAAGATTCATGTAAGTTTCAGCTTTTCTGGCCCAATGATTCTTGAGAAGAAGATTTTCAAAGATTTTTCCATATATATTTCTATGTAAAACTTCGATTCCCTATTGTGGCCCCGCCCTACTCCGAGGGGTCATGATTTGGACAATTTAGAATCTACACTACCCCAGGATGCTTCCATGTTTTTTCCTCTATATTTCTATGTAAAACTTGGATTCCCTATTGTGGCCCCGCCCTACCCCCGGGGGTCATGATTTGAACAATTTAGAATCTACACTACCCCAGGATGCTTCCACATAAGTTTCAGCTTTTCTGGCCCAGTGGTTCTTGAGAAGAAGATTTTTTAGTGACCCCAACCCTATTTTTATATTTTCTTGATTATCTCCCCTTGGAAAGGGACTTGGCCCTTGATTTTAACAATTTAAATTCACCTTTACCCAAGGATGCTTTTTACCAAGTTTGGTTAAAATTGTACCTGTGGTTCTTGAGAAGAAGTTGAAAATGTGAAAAAGTTTACGGACGGACAGCTAGACAGACGGACGGACAACGGGTGATCAGAAAAGCTCACTTGAGCTTTCAGCTCAGGTGAGCTAAAAATTGTATCCGTAAAGATGCATCATCATTGCACATGCAATTTGGTCCAGTTGAAATATAAGTGAACTTGGAATGGACCTGGTTCATAAATGTAACCTGTTCACTAATTCTTAAAATAAATCTAGCATCCCTAGACAATCTGATGGTGTATATTCTACATGCATCATCAATGTGAAAACTATTCCATAACCTTTAACCTATTGATTCAGATAAGCATCTGAAGCAGTCTTGAAGTAAGCATCACTAGACATCAATAGGACATACCCGGTATATCAATGAGACCTTGTCCTAAAACATTAACCTACTTGAATACATCACCTATTTTCACTTACTAAATTGGTAAAACAATGGTAAGCAAATAATTATATTGCAAATTTTTTTATTTGCAGATCTAATAAAAGTCCATTGTTATATACAATAACTTTGTAAATCACATAAATAAACATTTCATACATGATTTTTACTGGTTATTATCTTGACTACTGTCTGTGTGTGCCGTGGGACTGGTCTTTTCTACTGGCTCTGTTCCCTCTGACACTGAAGATTCTGACACTGTAGCCATGTTTTGAACATGACTTGAGTCAGAAACCTGAGAAGGTTGAATAACATTAACAACTTGTACATTAATGTTTGATTGTTCAGAGGCAGGTGCACTCACTTCAGTTGCTGGTGGTAAAGCAACAGGAGCAGCAACTGCATTCTGAGAAGCAGACTGTGCACGGCCGGTTGGAATATTTGAAACTAAGTTTGTCACAGTTTGAACAGCAGGAGTCTCTACTCGGGATGAACTTTCCACTGATGCAGCACTTGCAGGAGAACTGACATTTGATGGAGCTACAGGGTGATTGACACTTGGAGAAGCTGGAGGGGTACAGCTGGGATATCCTGAAGAAATGGGAGTGGGAACTTGCCGAGGAGGTATGTATTCCTGGCCAGGATGAGAAGGCGGTCTGGAGGGAGGTCTGGACACACCAGGTGAGCCCTGGCGAGGTGAGTATCGCCCCGGAGATGGCCCCGCTGAATGTGAAGGACTAGCTTGTCTGGGAGAATATCGCCCTGGAGAGGGGGTTGTAGACTGCCTGGGGGACATCTGGTTTTGTGATGGCCCTCGAGGTGCACCGCCGAAATGAGCCTGTCTGGGTGACATCCTTCCATGAACCTGGTTATAGGCATTAACATAAGACAGAGGAATCATTCCCCTGGGGGACATTCTTTCCTGACTATTTGGGGGAGGAAGCTGATGTCCTTGCATAGTTGATATAGGGGGGTATGACTGGGGCGGTATTTGTTGGACTTGGGAGGTGACCACACTTTCTGGTTCTTTAGGGATATTCACTGGTGTTGGAGCAGCCTCCGGTTCCGAGCCACTGATTGGTGCTTTATCTTGAGAATGCACTTGATCAGACTGAACACTCCCTTCAGCTGTTTTTGATGAACTCTCTGTCGACTGAGGAGCCGAATCAGATTCCTGTGGCACAGAATCTGTTTGCTGATTTTGTGAGGGAGCACTATGTACCTGGGGAAGAGAACATGCAATAGCTGCACTCTGAGGAATACTCTGATGGATCATCACATTCATTGGTAAGATAGGCTCCTCTTGTTGATCCTCTGTATCTGTGTTTTCAATGTGGTAAGAAAGTTGAGGGATAGCTGGTGTGTACGTATTGCTAGGACCAGACACACAGGTTGAAGGAATCGCCAGAGAGCTGGTCCCTGGATCCAGTTTCTTTGTCCCTGGTTTCTGGTCATTACCTGGGACAGAGGCAGACGTCTCACTTCCTTTAGCTTTTCCTGGTGATTTCTCCATGGCCTCTATCTGAGTACGAGCTGTCAAGCCTGCTGTGTTGTTGAGAATTTCCATTATGCGTTTTTCTGTTTCAGACTGCGGTGTAAACTGGACTGGAGGTCGAGGCTCAGTGGCTCCAACATTGGACGCTGCTGTGCCTGTAAAGACAAAATACAAAAATTTGAAATTTCTTTCAAATGCCCTGTAAAGCATGAAATTAATATAGATTTGTGGTTTAATTAACCTGTGGAATCATATCAATTCATGGAAACCTATTTTCATGAATTGCTGAAATAATTCATGGTGGTACTTTTCCTGAATATATAGCTAAAGAACAGAGTCCATTGAAATTGTAAATATAAGGGGTACACACTTATGAATGAGAATTAATTTCTAGAAAATATAGATTCCACATTATTTTTACTTTCTCTCTCTTTCAACATTTTAGCAATCAGATATCTTTAATAAGCTTTTGAATCGTTACACCATCACAAAAACTACCGGTACAGTCATAAAGATATTACAAACTTATACATTGCTACTAAAATCTTTGTCTGAAAAGTTCTTTAACAATATAAAAACTTGCTAAACTGAAATAGAGAACAAACTGAACATGCTGAAGTTGAACACATAACATAACTTAATTCAATGTATCAAAAATCTCAGCCCTTTACTAATGTAAGAAAGTTTTGACTACACATGCCAGCCATATTTCACACAACAGCAAGGGAATTCACTGATTCAATAATTACAAAAAATTATCTGATGAGGCAATTTCTTTATAGAATATAGTATTTGTGTTAAATGTCAGGATGGTTAGTGAACACAGATACTCTCTAATGGGGATAAATAAAGCACATAACTATATATACACAGGAATTAGGTATGACCAAAAGTCTTGAACTCCTCGACTGTAAAGGCAAAAGAACCAGAAATCCTGCTGGTGCTTAATGTGCCTTAACCTTCTCATTGTCTATGTGACTGTGATGTTTGTAACTACCAGGTGTATATCTTATGGATTAAAGTAAGGAACTTTTGAGTGGAAGGGGAGTTTTTTTTTAGGGAGGAAGGGAGGGATAACCCTTATACTTTTTATTCAGTGGCTGTAATATTTCTCATTGTCATAGGCTTAATTTAGCCTAACGCTGGAGGTGATGTAGATTCTTACTATGGATTTTCAAAACCTGTCATTTTTAATTCCACTTTTTCTGGAGCTGGCATTCTCTATTATCTCAGAGTAAAGATCTCATGATGCATTACTCTAATCTTTATAACATGCTACAAATATTTATAATTATTGAGGAATGACTTGTCCCTGTCATCACAAATATGTTCATTTTGATTGCAAAACAATCTTTCATTCAATATTTAGAAACTTCAGCAACTTTATCAAATTGTCAGAAAACCCACACACACAGCTGTTAATGAGTCATACAAAGGTCCTTGTTTACCTAAATTTGATATGAATTTTTCCCATATTTCAAAACAAAATCTTGCTGCTATAAACTTTTCATTAACCACTGAAAATATGGATAAATACTTGAGTAGAACCACATTTTTTATTCCTAAGAAAAAACATCCTCAAGCAAACTGTAGATCTCTATATTTTCGCGACACCTTATTTTCACAAGAAAGTCACCGACTCTTTATTAGCGAGACAAAATTTTCATGAGTTGTGATTTTTGCTCCATATAATCTCTGGGAATAATAATATACACGAGAATGAAATTTTTCATAAGCACACTGCCTTGAGAAATTATGCTTAAACAAAGTTCTTGCAAATGAAAAGTGATTTACAGTAATAAATCTACGAAAATCGAGGACTAGACAAATCTTACTTGAAACTAAATCTCCTACCCTAAGGGTATAAAAGAAAGTATAAACAGATGCACCATATCTGCAAGCTTGGTTTGGATGTCCCTTAAGAGACAGGCCAGAAAGTGGCATAAAAACTGAGCTTTACCCCAAAACATACATCAAGATTTCAGAATCATACCTCAAAACTAAGTCTAGAAGTTTGGACCTCCAGATGCAACAATTATGCAATTCTGGTCTGATAGGGCTTGCAGATACTTGGAAATGGACTTAACCTAAAAAATTTGATCTAGTTGCTCATCCAGAAAATGTATGTAAAAACCCACACCTGAAGAAACTTTGAGAGTGTTGGGGGAGTTTATGTAATACCTTGAGGGCTTGAAGTTACAATGGAATGTGTGTGCTCAAAAATGTTAACCTAGACACCCATCTGAAGCATCTGAGGCAAGCTTGGCAGTGTACTGTGCATCCTTAGACATATCATAGGGCTTATAGTTAATTTAGAGGAATCTGCTTTAAGAGCAGAATCTTCCAATTTTAATTAAAGTATAATGAAGTATTAAAAACGGTAATTTTGCATTTCAATAATATTTGGTTAAAAGTATTTTTGTTTGGTGAAAGCATTAGAATATATACAACTTTTTTTTAATTTTCCTTATTAATCATAATAAATACATGTATATATTTTTTTCATTATGAAAGAACAAGTTTAGAGAGATTACAGTCCCTTTAGAGGCTCACTGATAGATCATTTTTAAACGTACATTTAGGTCATATGAATTTTCAAAGTTGCATTTTTTTCCTTTTAATTATTGATAAGATATCTACACAGTCTTGTATCCAGTAAAACCTTACCTGCCTGTCAAAAAAATACTTGGAAAAAAAACAGATACAGGAAAAAAAAAGTCCTCAAAACAACATACTGTCAGAACAGAAAACACACAGAGCACTAACATTCAAATAAAGAATCCAAAGCACTTGGACTTTGTTGGAGAAGTGCACAATGCAGGAGGTAAGGCTAACTAAGAACACCTAGAAATCAAATCTGTCCCAAGTCACTGGATAAGGAAGCATGCAAGTAAATCTGGATACATCACAACAAAATTATACTTTGATTATACTATATAAATATAATAATGACACTTGTTAAAAAAATAAAAAAAAACAACAAAAATCTCTCATAATTCCTGTGAAAAAGCAAAGAAACGTTAGAGCTACGAATACACTGCACAACACAGATACACCTAGCGGCACACTTTTTTGATGAAACACTTGGTGTAGTAGGTATGGTATTTTTGACTTGGTAGTGTAAGGTAATAGTTAAAAGAATCGGCAATAGATTTAAGTGTGTAGCTCTACCGTTTAAAATTTGGCAAAGGTTTCTGGTAAGATTAAAGGAGTGGATCGACAGTATTTACACAAAAGACAAGCAAGATAAAAAGTTATCTATACAGCAGAAGCAGGAGGGATAAGGAAAGGTGAGTAGTTAATGATAGGTATAGGGTGTTATTTGTAGCACGTTGTATGATTATAAAACATTCTTAAACAGGTAGCCTCTCTATCTACTAAAACTGCCTAGGTCCACAATCAAATAAGTCTGACAAATATTTCATTAAATTATTGTTGTCAAACAAAGAATTTTCTTATGGTGGTTTATCAATCAGTTTTCTCATTTTAACCTTCAATAATTATTTTTAATCTTAAAAAAACATTTCTTTACAAATATGTTTTTAAATAAAACTTAATTAAGTGACTTTGAATAAATTTGGAACATCCCCTCCCCTCCCTTTAAATAAAAACTTAAATGAATAGAGATATACATTGAAATAATTATATAGAGATAGTGAGGTTGTGAATTTCACCTTTGCCGAAGTCATTTATATTAGAGCTAAGAAAAGTGCATTATATACTTGGAATAAAAAGCTAAACAAAAAATAGTAAAAAAAAAAAAGAAAAAGAAAATGTTCAAAAAAGTGTGCCAATCAATGTACTGAGAAATGCCTTTACTTTCTGCAGTTTTCTTCTTCTTTTTACGTTTCTTTGATTTTTTCTCGCCGGATTCCATGGTGGATACCATTTCAGTGGGAGGCGCAGAAAAACCTGGAACATCCATATTTTGTAATTCATAAATAAATCTCCATTTTATAAGGTATTTGAGGAATTTATACAATACTGAAACCTTCATTTTAAAGCAAATTACTTGAGATCATTAGATCCTGGTTTGTGTTTTGTATAGATGTATACAAGCCACAAGAAGAAAGCACCTGGAGTGGTAATTGAATCATTCTGTCCTATTTAATTCAAAGACTTTGAGGCAACACTATTCACATCCACAAAAATTCACCAAACCATACAATGCCCCACCCAAACTTTTCTTTAAAAAATTCATGAATGTATAAAACTTTGTTTTTGGAAAAAAAAAGTTTGCAATTCCTTACAGCTGGACTACTTGTTGTAAATCTACCCTGGCAATGGGAACAAAAGCATCGACATTAACCACCTCATATTGCAAACTTACAAAATTGTCAGTCACACAGAAGCCTGCAGTAAATGCCAATATTGTCTTTCTCTGATTGGTTTATCCTCATAAAAATGCTTCTTTTCTTGTTTGTTAGTGCAATACGGTCTTTTAGCCAGGATTTAATACAGTAAAACTCGTTTAGTACAAAAACCCATATTTCAAATTCATGGATATAAAGTGTTATCTTGGATCCCCAGCTATATAAATCTAATGAGTTCCTCAAACCGATATAACGAATTACACATTTAACAAATTAATTTCATAGGTCCCAGTGATTTCGCTCTAACAGAGTTTTACTGCAATCTTAACTTTTTCTTGACATATAAATGTATCTGATGCCATGACCCAAAAATGTACATATTCTCTCCTTTGTTTGAAGAGTAAAAAGTACTTAAAATGGCTTCATACAAAAATAAATTGGGAAATTGACACATAAATCACTTTAATTAAAGTAGGGCACCTACATAAATCTAAGTGAGTGGAAAACAACAGAACATCGAATTCTGTCTAAGTCATTATAATGAAACAGGATTCTAAATCAATTCTTCTAAAAAAATTATTCCTTTTAAAAATCAAGAAACTTGTTAAACCTGAGAAATCTGATTTCATGTGATATGAATTTTACAAATTGGGAAGGACTTCATGTATGACATTACAATGCATCTCTATAAAATCAACCACCACTGAACTGAAGACATTCAACAAATCAGTGACCATTTCTTGATTTTACAATTGTTAAGAAGAACTGAGATGATGGGGAAAAGTGTAAAACTACTAGTGCTGTACAAAGCTTCCATTAAAAAAAAAATAGGTCTACCATTGAACTCTGTTAGTTATTAAACTACAGTAATGATAATAAAATGTGCTATCAAATTTATCACCAAGAATGCCTTGCTGTCATTCATTTCTTATTCACAAGTAAAATACTGACAATACAGCAATAGCAATCTGATTAACTAAATCCTTTTACATTTATTCTGAACTTGCTGTAAAAAAATTAATAGGAATCCAAGCAAATTTTCATTTTCTGGAGTACTTTTAAAACCAGTCAAATCCAAATGTTTCACATAAAGAATCCTCCTACTAGTGTGTACTAGTTTGACTATGAAACAATCCAAGTCAGTATTGCTTCCTGTAATCTTATCAAGTATAGAAGATTCCATTCATTAAGGGGATGAAGGATGTATGGTCACGTGACTCAGTTGATTTACGTCATAATCTCTGATAAAATATGTACAAAACGAGATTGAAACCACAGCACTTGTATATTTTTTTTTACTGTTTGTTTGCGTTCACTATCTAGTATAAAAATATCTGAAAACATTCAAAATTTCTTGCAAATATTATCAAATTACGGAATAGATTAATCCACTCTGCCGTATTGCTTGCGTCTTTGACGTCATAGTGGATCTCTTAGTTCAGTAAGATCATACACGGTAAAAACGGATAGTATAAAATCATAAAACGGCCCATAATATCTACATGGTAGGGTACTATAAATTTTTTACATGGTTGTTGACGGAAAAGTTCTGTGGGTTTGCCTTAAAATGTGTGACTCATAAGAATAAAACATTGTTACTGATTAGAAATGTTATTTTGACGACCTTGCTTCATTTTTCAAAAGGATTTTTTTGCACAGGAAACTTCAAAAGAATCTTGCTTTTTCGAAGACACATTTCCGAAAAAAAAATTTCAGGACCACCCATGCATCGCCTCTCAATTTTTGCACCCAATGTCCTTTTTACATATATTAATAGAAAACAATTGTTTTTCTGAACACATTTAACAACATTGTCTTTGTCATTTTATTAATTCCTGCTTTTTTACTTGAAAGGCTTGAAACTGGTTGGTATTTCCGATAACCGGCATTTGTGGTGAAATGCGGTCCCCGAGTAGTGGACCTAAAAACTCCGCTCAGACACTGTGGGGTATGGTATTTGTCACTCAATATCTCCACCTTGACCTTGGTTCATGATATATACAAAATATGGTGTGTACATATCTAAAATTGACTGTGGGAAGGGGTTAAAAGGATTCACAGGAAACTTCCAAGAGAAAAAAATCAGGACTGGTGGCAGGGTCTTGGGGAGGTGGTGGGGGACCAGGCATTCTAGACGCTCCATCAAAAGGCATCCGCTGTCCCGGAGCTAGTGAAAAATGGAGTTTTATGTTCATAAAGTCTGTTTTATGACAAGCATAAGCTTAGCGGACACATAGAATTAGCAGACTAAATCTATACCAGGAAACCGTTGCATTGGATCCCCTGGCAATCGTGGTGCAGGGAATCGTCCACTCTGGTCATATGGCATGGTTCTAGGATCAAAGTACTGGGGCATCTGTCTCATCATTTCTGGTTTTTCTGCATTAATAAAAATAATCATAATTTTTTCCATATTTAACTACTGTATACAGGGAAATTTTTGCCCCCGTTTTATTTTCAACCCTTTCGCCCTACCCTCATTTGGGCAAATTTAAAACGGGGCAAATTCAAAGAATACAGTATAATTTCTTAAACAAAACTATGACTGGGCGAATTTAAAACGGGGTAAAATTGTTTGTGTGAAAGGGCGAAAATAACCCTGTATACAGTATTCTAATTTAGCACCAAATATTTATTACAAATGATATACTTTCCTTTAATCTTTGATAAGCAAACCATCAGAATCTTTTACATGTATCACATCATAATGTATTGTACCAGTATTACATTACATAGATAAGGATGTTGAGCTGTAGTACCTGTATCGGGCAGTGGTTTGGGTAGGCTGTAAACCCTCTCCCTCTGTTCTCTCTCTTGATATTCCTCACTGAACGGGTTATTGTCCTGAAACAAATAACAAAAGTGAGAAAATCTTCCACCTCTTTACCTTGTACCAAAATTGCCATTTATCCATGATTTTTATCCTTAACAAAAGGATAGATTTATATGGAAACCTGAACCCCCTCCTTATTCTTTAGAAGCCCAATAAGCCCATATTTTTTTCATCGTTCATGGATAAATTTTATTTATTAATTGTCGTGACATCATTATTTACTTTGTCAACCATGCTTATGAATCCTTAGGAGAAAAAAAAATATTAACAGGTTATTTACATTGATTTAACCCCATGATTTATATACAAGGTTTACAATATAGAAAATAATGGAGAAAAACACACGGTGTATATGTACATGTAAATATATAAATGACAAAAAATGCAACATATCATTGTACTAGATCATATTTATACCTAACAATAAACTATTACACACATCCACACTCAATATGGTGTGGTATGCTTTTGTAACAATTTGCAACTTCTTATGAGATTTGACGACTTTCTACAATACATTCCCTTGTCTTACCCAGGTTAGCTGGTTATACCAATTACTTTATAAGCCTTTCTGATAGTTAAGACATCCTTGATAACTTGGACTAGGATAGATAAATGTTTTGTAGTAGCTAATTTCCATAATTTACTGTGACAAGTAACAATTCAGCACATCCATGAATTACTTCACATCTAGCACATCCATGAATGATTTCACTAGTTAATAGTTATGTTTATGGCTTAATTTTTCATGGTATTATTTTTTTTTAATTCATAAGTCTGGCATTTACCGAGTGTTTAAAATGAAGTCAGACTTGTGAGAATCTGACCTTACTATTGTTCAGGTACACAAAACTGGACAATTACGGCATTGCTATTTTTATTCACAGGACTCCTCTTTGATCACCAAGCTTTATTATGTGACATGAGGACACAAAGGAAATATATTTAATTTTTTCATTGCTTTTTTAAACTCTACAGAAATATACATACATGAATTTTAAAATACTGCAGTTCATAAGTGTTAGCATAAGCAAACTAAACTTGTGCATGTTTCTGAGGAGCAATCAAAGAAACCAATTACAACTTTAGATCAGTTTTTAGCAATGACCAGAAACTGTTAACCAGTTTACCAATGAATCATAACAAAAACACTATTAACCTTAAATTATGGACACCCCCCTCCCCCCTATTTTTTTTTTTAATCAGAAATGTAACAATTTTCTTCCAACAAATAATTTTATTAAACACAACTAAAAGTTTGTGCAAAATCTTTTTGTCATAAAGACTTTTGTATTAGTAAGGACAAGGACATACAGCAGATCTATCAAGATGTTTTCCCTACATCAGTAGTCTATTTTAATAGAACTACTTTCCCAGTACATGTACTGTGCAAGCAGGTCCTAAGCATCTTAAAATGGCCTTAATGCATTTATCAGATTCAATGGTAATTCTTTTCAGTCTTGAAACAGGAGTGTACTTCCATGGAAATATTACGATTCAATACACAAGTGTTTTTTTTTTGTCTTAAAATAACGTTACTTTTGTAAGCATTCATTTGACCATTCACTCGTCTACCGGAAGCATTCCAGACTTTACTACCCCCTAATCTTTGATTACGACCCCATGCCTTACCTCTCATGTTAGTGGTCAGCATTCTTTGCATGTCTTAGTAACTTAATACAACATAAAAAGCATTCTTAAATAATCTGATTATTTCTGAAGATAAACCATTAAAACGTTACTCCAAGGAAGATGCTGTATTAAACTGACCAAAATTACACATAAAAAGAAACAATAAAGGGGGATAACAATGTATACTCCAAGACATCCCAAATGTTACAAGAACAACATGACATATTAAACAACAAATAAACTGATATAAAAAAAGGTCTATCCTAGGATAAAGTGTTGAGGGGTTATTTGTTGTCAGCGATTTGTTAGCTGAAGCGTTTGTTTGTGTGTGGCATGCTGAGGCCTGATACAGAGAAAATGTGACAATCTCACCTGAAGGATAGCTTTGGGCCCTGCCACTTTAGTCTTGTTATCCTGAATAGTAGGGACATGAATTATCTACCATTTGGATTATCATTGGTTAGACCATCAAAATGCTACATATACCACAACCATCCACAGTCATTAATACAAAGCTTTCTCATTCACTGATTTCATTATTCACTTAGCAAATGCACAAAAACATTACAGTCATTCTTCTAAGCAGTTTGCTTCACAGCAAAAAAAAATGTTAAATGCTCTGAACATCTTTCTTCTTTTTTTTTTTTTAACAGACACGAAAAGTGCAATACTATGTGATAAAATGCATGAGATTCATGAAAAACAAACATTTTAATTCCGGTTCTTATAAAATTATATTCAGTGGGAGAATTTTGTCCACTAAACTTGTTCAAATTAGTGCTTCCAGTTTCCTCACAATAAAAACATGACCACTTTTTAAAGAGAATAATTCTGAAGAATTTTTAACAGACAAAATGCTTCCACCTGAGTTAAAATCACATCACCTGGTAAATAGAGTGATAAATACTGACTTACCTCCACTACTGTGTGCTGGGGACGGGGAGCTGATGCAGGCATCTGCTGGGACTGTCTGAGTCGATCCTGCATGTACTCATCATAAGCCTGTCTGGCTGATGCCGTGAGGCGGGCCGAGCCCTGCTGGCCAGGGATTCTAGGCTGTAATCCTCCGGGAGGAATAGACATTATAGCAGGACCTGTAGCAGGGGGCATCTGACTGAAAGCCCAGTCCTGGCCATACCGTTCCTACAAAAAAAATAGAATATTTTGATTCATCATAAAAAATACTTCTTGTACTGTAATCAAATTCTCTATGTACGTCCCTGGAAAAGTTGACATGTAAACAAACCTTTCACACAGTCCTACCCTTGTAAATGATTTGCTTGACAACTCTTACCCGTTTCTTTGTGCGGTAGTCTGTGGTCTGTAGCTGGTGCTGTTTGACCTGCTTACGGAGTCCTTCTAACTGTTTCTGAAGGACTGCCTGCTCCTGGGTCACTCTCTCCAACTCGGTGGCATCGTTTGGTGATGGCTCCCTCCCTGACTTCTTGGCCTAAATATATCCAAAAAACATTATTACCATGGTTGCCATATATTCAAATAACTACACACTGGTTTGAAGAATCAATAAATATGAAATGTAAATAAAATGATTGTTAAAATTCAATCTATTTTTTAAGACAAAATATAAGAATTCTTACTTGTCGATTTCTGGCATTGATAGCCTTTTTGGTTCGCTTGCACTTTCCAATCTGCTGTTCCAGTGCCTTGACTTGCATCTCTATATAGTTTCCATGCTTCACAAGCCAATCCTCATATTGCTGTTGCTGCCGCTCTAGTTCAGGAGTCAACTCCCCTAATGAATAAATCAAGACAATTAATATGTACATTTCCTTAAATTACACATCAAAACCAATCACTGGGTGCACAAATGCCAAGAAAAACATTCTTTCATCTTTATGTCTTCAAAAAGCACTATGTAAGAAACATCAAAGAAAGATACATGTAACAATTTTAACAGAATTATATAGCAGTAAATTGCTTCTCTGCAAGTCTGAAACTCAGACTCAGACATTGCATTTTAACATTTTCAGTGCTACAGAGTAAAAACTATGATCAATTTACACTAAATACATGTATGTTTACATAAATACTGACCTGTCATTGGGGGTTGAGGGGGTGGTTGTGGAGGAGGGGGAATTCCCATGGGGCCCATACCAGGGGGCTGACCCCCATAAGGACCAGGCATCCTAGGGGGCATCTGTTGTCCCGGCATTCGTACAAATGGTGGCTGACCTGGAGGGATCTCTGGTTGTCCGTAAGGCCTCTGGACATTTGGATTCCAGTTTGGGTCCCCAGGGTGCCTTCAAGTGAAGTAAAGTATAAATTAGACATTAATTCTTAAACAAGAAAGTAAATTCCTAAATCTAGCTCAAGCAGTAATTTCCTCACCTCATTCCCTCCATACGTGGACGGAATTGTCCCATGGGCATTCCTGGTCTGGGTGGCTGACCCATCATTCCCTCCGGTGGAGGCCGCTGCATTATTCCCATTGCCTGCTGCTGGGCTTGCCTCTGCTGTTCCTGCTTCTCCTAAAATAAAGCATACACAACTAATAACATAGCACTGAACTTCATACTTTCCATGAAGCTACGAATTAAGATTTATTTAAGGGGTCAATCCCATACTACGTAAATGATTTAATGACCTATACAAAACATACTTGTTTCAGCTTAATCTTCTTGTTACCCTCTTCATACTAAAATATGATGACGTTATCTCAAAAAAATGTATGTGTTTATTGATACAAATGATCATGTGGTGCATGAAGTTCCAGATTAAAATTAACAGAAAAAAAATACTGGAATTTTTTAAATGTGCAGTAAGGCGTGCCACATCTGAATAACCCAATAAATATATGACATATGTTTACCTGTTCCAACAGATCCTGTATCAGAAGTGGCTGTTCTTGAAGTAGCTGAGGCCGTACATTCCCCTGTGATCCTGGGGAAGATGTTGTGACAGGTAATGCCATTCCCCCCATGGGAGGCCTCACTCCTGGCATTCTCTGCCCTGGCATTCCATAAGGAGGCATTGCAGCAGTGGCCTGAGAGGATGGAGGGTGGCCCTGCACCTCTGATCCATGAGGGGCCTGGGAAGTGGCCATGTGAGGCACAGCAGAGGGATCCATAGGATGCATCTGTGAAGTGGGGGTGTCCATTCCATGTCCCATTGGATGAGTGGATGCTCCTGAGAAAGGTGGTCTGCTTCCAGGCATAGAAGCAGGACCTGGATTTCTCATGCCATGCTGTGGAACACCTGACTGTCCTCCATACATAATACTGTTGGGTGTGGGAGTTAGAGTGGTTCCTCTTGGAGGTCCTTGCATCATGGGCTGACCATAAGTACCCTGCATGTACTGGTTTGTTGGCGTAATGGTACCCCTTGGTGACCTTTGACCTGGACTTTGGGCTGGAGTGCCCCCTTCCACAGCGGAGTACCCAGTCTGACTGGTGCTTCCAACAGGAAGAGAGAAGGGTGGCTGTGGTTTAGAGCCAGCATAAGGTGACTGTGGAGCAGACGACACTGTAGGAGAGAAAGGAGACTGAGTCTGTGGAAATGGAGACTGTTGATTGTTCATTGGATTGAATGGTGATTGAACAGTTGGTGTTCTGGGGGATGGTATGTTACTTCTGGGTGATGGCATTACTTTGGGGGAGGGTAGGCCAGGAGTGGGTGGTCCCTGGCCCGGGGGATAGCTGGAGCCAGGTGAGGGCTGGGGCACCTGATGGAGAGGGGAATGCATTCCTGCTGCATACGGCCCTCTGGATGCCATTCCTGGATAAGCAGCAGTCTGATCCACACCAGGCTGTATTCCAGAAGGAGTCAGAGGTCCAGAGCCCGGAGTTCTGGGTAGCTGGTCTTTACCTGGGGCTGAAGTGTCTGACTTGACAGAGTCTCTACGTTCCAGGGTGGGGGGCATGTGTTCTGAGCTTTGTTGCTGTAGGAGAGCAGCTATCTGACTGATATTCTGTTGGTCTTTTTTATCCATCTCACTCATCTGATTGCCCCCCTCTGTCCCAACCTTCCTTTCCTCATTCTTCTTCTGACTGAACTCTAAGAACTTGGACTGGAAATCTGGGATTCCGCCTCCTGTTTTTGATGTCTCCAGCTCTGAGTCCATTTTGTCTTTGGCTATCTTCATGTCTTCCTTATTGTCTGGTTTCTCCATGGCACCATTTTCAACTTCATCCAGATCATCAAAGATGCTCTTGTTTTCATCAAGATTCAGTTCAGTGTCTGTGTCCACAAATTTTATAATGTCAAATGTTCCATCAGAACCTGTTGGGGAAAAAGAAGACAACTTTAGAATCTTTCATGCCACTTGTTTAAATAATTAAATAAAAACTAAAGGTACCATATCTTTAATATAGATCCACACTTTCAAAACTATACTTGCTAGATTAAATCTGAAAAATATAACACATTGTACCGTCATGTACCATAAGTGTAGAAGGTTGAAAAAAAAAACTCGAACTCATGGTAAAGTGACAACCTGTCTAACAGAATAAGCACCAACACTAGCCTTGTGTTCATTGAATACTAATGTCTAACTTAAGACCAATAATGTTACACTGCATACCTACTGATATCTGATTAATTAGTTACCTAGGAGATCTATCAGGTCTGTGTCATTCAGCTGCTTCTCGTCCTCTGATTCTTTCTTCTCCTCCTTTGTGTCTGTTGTTTTCCCGTCCTCTCTCTCTTGTTCTAGCTTCCTCTGCTCTCCTTTAGGACCTTGGGTCATCCTGCTCTGTTCCCCTGACTCTGGGGGGTAAGATTTATAGGTCTGACCCTGACCTGGCATACTGGGCACCTGTTGACCTCCCTGCTGATTAGGGGGCACCTGTTGACCCGGGACAGGGAAGCGTTCCATCATGTTAGGGAATCTTGGATCATGGCCAGCTAATGGATTCTGTCAACATTTCATATATCATGTATTATAAAGTGATTTTATTAACCAGAAGTCTCTGTCGAGACTGTAGCTCTACTGGTTTATACTTAAAACAAATGAAGAGAAAAGTAGCAGTTGGGACTTGAGACTTTAAATCAGCAATAAATAGAAAAATGATCCTTGCCATCATCAAAATAAAAACCGATGCACAGAATTATGTATCTTAATAGTCTACTTGTGTGCCAAGTTATAATGAAATTAGACCAAAACTGTAGGAGGAGTAGCATTTTGAAAGAATTTCACAGAAATTTGTATTTTTAGTAACCACGGCAACACCGTCCATCGAAATCAAAAACCGATGCACAGAATTATGTATCTTAGTGTAGTCTACTTGTGTGCCAAGTAATATTGAAATCAGACCAAAACTGTAGGAGGAGTAGCATTTTGAAAGAATTTCACAGAAATTTCTATTTTTAGTAACCACGGCAACACCGTCCATTGAAATCAAAAACCGATGCACAAAATTATGTATCTTAGTGTAGTCTACTTGTGTGCCAAGTTATATTGAAATCAGACCAAAACTGTAGGAGGAGTAGCATTTTGAAAAATTGTTTACAGACAGACAGACAGACAGACAGACAGACAGACGGATGGACAGACAGACAGACGGACGGACGACGGACGCATTACTATCGCATAAACTCTTCTGGTCTCTGACCAGTAGAGCTAAAAATATAGAATTTTGTTTGATACATTTGCATTCTAAATAAAGTTATGAATGCAAGAAACAGAGATTCAAAATATATATAAAAATATCATTTTAAAAACAGTTCAAACTGAAATTCAAACTTTCAATGACAATGTGAAAAGCAAAATAAGCAATTGAAAAATCCCTGATTTGAAAGATCTTTTGATGATTGTTGCTGTACAATTCATATTTCCCACTATGGATACACTTGAGACATACCTGTCCAGGTCTGATACTGGGCAGTTGGCCAGGGGACATCTGTTGGGATTGTTTGGGTGAGTACATTTCTGGCATCATCGGACCGTGGGGGCGGGGCTGCCTCATCTGTCCGGGGTGAACACCTTCACTATAAGGAGGTCGCATACCATAACCTTCCATCTCTGTAAAATTATACCAGTATTCAGGTATAACATACTAAAGAAATTACCCAAAATCACCATTATATCATGTAATTCTATAATTAATCAGACTTAAGTTAAATGCTCTGTAATTTCTCTTTAATTTTCCAATGAATGTGATCCAGTTTAGTGGTATCATATAGTTAAGGGTAAAAAAGTCATTACTAAAAAACAGAATTCTAAGGTAGTTAAATACATGCATTTACTAAGGGCTACATGACAGATGATAAACAATGAGTCAATCTAGCTAATAACTAAGGAAAGATGTTTCTTAATGCAGTTGGCTTGAAGGACACTGGTTCTAATCACAGGCTGGTAAACCTAGTCAAACTTGTGGAAAAAATACCATTAAAAAATACTAGCTGACAAAATTGGATGCGTCAGAATAAATGGCCTTTACACTGAATCAAGAAATACAAAAGAAAGCAAGCTAAAATTGGGCTAGTTTCCTAAATTCAGTTTTAGGTACATGGTTTAAAATAAGGAACAATTAACAGTAATAAACTCCATTTTCTGTTGCTCAAATTAACTACATACAAGTTTGCAATGTTTAAAGAGATGACAAGATTGTAAATTTTGTGAAACCTTCAGCCTGAAAATGGTTTATTCAGACTGTAAATGAAATATTAGTAGGTGCAAAATGGATAACCTTTGTTATGATGTCTACATATACATTTATGAAACATGTGCACTGCAACGAAAAAAGTGCACATCAATAAGGAGGGAAGGTGCTTAGATTTGTGCAATCAAAGAAAATCAAATAAACAGCATGAAGGAAAATTTGTTTTGAGTTTAAACTTTAAGTTTCTAGGAATTTCAATTTTCAAGTTGGATCCTTTCCGAAATTATCTAAAGGTTTTTCCTTAACATTTCCTCCTCAAATGACTTAAGCAGATTTAATATATTTCTATGAACATGCCATGATTACATGCATATTGAAATACATCTACATCTCTGATAAAAATAGTGAAATTTAGAGTTTTCCTACTGGTAAGGTCAACATCATATAGCAAATTTTTTCCAGAATAAACTAATTCTTGGACATGCAGAAAGTCTACTTTTGATAAGATGCCAGCACTACCAATGGATGACCTACCAGTGGGGTGGGGGATTTGCCTTGGCCCTGGCATTCGGGGAGGGGCCGGCCACGTTCCTCGGGCCCCAGGAAATCGGGTCATCTCCTCAGAAGTATAGGCTGTAGTAAAAAGCAGTGCAATAAAGACATCAAAGTGTGGAAGCACACAGCACAAAGTTTAATTAGTAATGGAGCATGGCAGTACATAGATAATACTAGAGTGTACTGCTATCACTTAGTACAACTACACTTGTATATTTAAAAATTTAGTATCTAGTGTTAGAACAAGGGTACATTAATATAAGAAATTACAGAAGTGTCATAGCTAAGGGGAAATGGAGACGAGCTCTCTCATCAGTGCAACCCCCCCCCCCCCCAATAGCAACCCATATGAGCATGATTACCCTAGATGTCCTTCCCTGTTTCAAATACATTTATATTCATATTGACAGAATTTCACACTCCTGGAAGTTAATGATGATGCAACTAAGTTTTGTATTCCTTTCAACATAGATAAATAAATACGTATCCCTAACCCAATTACATTTAATCAGACATTGCTTAGGACTTTTCAGTTTTTCAATGATGCCTTGTTCATGTACCATGACAACATCTTTCTTTGGGGGTTTCACCATTTCTTTTTTAAAAAAGCAGACTTGGGAAGACAACATCCAGCATTATAACACAGAATACATCATCTATATTACCAGAATAAAAACGGTAAGACATAAGACTGGAAACCAGAGTATAAATGGGTTAGTAAAGCAAATCTTCACATCTAATGAAACACAGATGAGTGGCAACAGGAATCATTTAGAACTAAAAATTTTCAATAATTTTCTGATTCTTTTTTCACAGAACATTAACAAGTTTATTCCTACCTACCAAATTAACAAAAAAAATACAGTAGTATTGTTCCATCTCTTAATGGGAAGAGTTAGGTGAACTTTATCATTTCATAAAAAGTTGACTCCACATTAACCCCCCACCCCCTTTCCAAATAAATTTCAGCATGATTTTAACTATTGGCATTACAAGTAATATTTCATATTGTAACTCACAAACTCTACTTGCTTTTTCAACTTAACTACCAGAGAGACTGAATTGGTTTAGAAATTGTACATGTAAATGAATATATGTGAAGGTTGGATTGACCATGTGTAGAAAACATCAATTAAACGTTGAGATGACAATCTTGACACTACATAATAACAAGAGGCCCATGGGCCACATCGCTCACCTGAGTAACTTGGGTGGTGCAGATCTTTTTAAAAGATTTGTTCCATATATATTTCTATGTAAAACTTGGATTCCCCATTGTGGCCCCGC